ATAATTGTTTACTTTTTACACATTGTGACTTGGATGGAGAGTTTTCTCATTGGCACTCATACCACATGTTCTTATTTCTATTTGGTTTCATTTTCTTTTTTTTTTCTTCATATGTTTGTTCGTTGTTATATTGATATCATAAAAAATAAAGAAATATCGTACGATTGCCAATGAAACAACTATTCATAAGAATTTAAATTACATGGAAGTAAGGAATTAATAATGAGAAAAACCCATACCGTATATTCAGCTATAAAAGCTAAGAAAATTTAAAAAAAAAAACAAACCAGCAAACTAACGGCCTAATTTATAACAATTCAATTTATAGAATATTGATATCACAATCAGGAAGCAACGACAACCGCACAGGCTACTGACTTGGGACAGACAGATAAAGGATGTGGCGGAGTTAAACATGTTCGTGAGCACTTAACCCTCGCCTAACATGGTACAATAGTGTAACAACACAACATAAGAAAAATGAAAAAAATCAGTTGTAAATGGCTGAACATTTTAGATCGGTACGAAGCACACAAAAAGACATCTATTCATATCAAAGGTAAGGATTTTGTTAAATTCAAAAAATATAAAATCACCAATAAGCAAGGAGATTAACCAATTGAGATACTTCAGAGAATATTCCTCTTAGTTAAGTTACGAATAGTATCAATTAACCTTACTGTATTAGGTTTCATTCAATTAAAAAAAATGTAGAAGACAGATAAATGCTTACAAATTTGATTTGCAATTTTGCAATACATTTTGTGTAATATCAAAACATTTTCCGCACTCTACACTACTAATTTCCTTGCTCAATTGATAGATCAACTGTTAATCGAACAGTCCTTTTTGCTAGGTCACGGTGAATCTTACTTTGTGAAGAGTCACACTGATTCCAACCGCAAATTATCCAAAAACAATATCATCAAAATGCAAGACGTAGCGATATTTGTTGAGTTTGGTTGAATGGCATTCAACTTACCGTCGGTTTTCCAATGGGTGCTAACTGTGCAACCCTACTGTCCAAATTGTCTCTGTACTTTCTGAAGCAAAATTCATACAAACTAATAACAAAAATAAAAATATGAAGTATATTGCAAAGTTCTACTATTTCACATTCAGATAAATTGATGATGTCCTGTCACCTCATAGTCAAATTTCAGTGAGTGTTTGAATCTGAAACTCTGAAACGTTTCCTCGATATTGACACAAATGGACTGATTCAATCTCCCATTTTAGCAATAATAGAATTAACGGTACCAATTTTACTACAGCAGATGCGCATTTCTACAATTTATGTCACTTCAGTGATGCTTGATATTTGAAAGTCCAAAATCTTTAACATTGTTAAACAAAAGTCGAAGAACTGACCAAATCAAATTTTACCAAAAGTAAAACCAAACCCAGACAAGGAATCAGAGCTATGCACGAGTAACATACCATTTCTCAATCAATACCTTGTGCTCGGGTATGTTCACTCTATACGGAATTCACCAAAATGTGTTTGTTCCTTACACCAAAACTGCGCCGACAGATTAATGACGCAAGTTTTTGCTGTGTTACATCTTCAAATATCAGAATAGTCGTGTGATTTGTAATTTTACCGACCATGTTTCCTATTCCAGATTATGACATATTGACTTATTGTGGATTCGCCTGGGGGGTGATGCATGCATAGAAGAAGACCCTCACCCTGTCAACAAATTAGATCTCATTGATTTTGGAGTTTATGCTGTTCTCTAAGTTTTTGTTTTATACCTTGATTTTCATCTGCGTAATCGATTTATGATTTTTGAACGTCGGTAAAAAAACTGTTGCCTAAATTTTTTTACAAAATATATTGACCTATTGGCTATACTATCGGACAAACGAACCTAATAATGATAACGTAACGTTGACCAATAAAACATAGAATGTTGTCAATGTGAGATTGGCCCTATCTGATGGACATGTACATCTTATAATACCAAGAATACTCAACAGACTGGATTCAACACGTATATTACCTAACAAACGATTCGATTTATGAAAATTTAACGTTGAACAATAAACAATGAAAATGAGCTTAATGTCAGATGAACCCTTCCAGACGGAAATATACACCTTACAATCGTTCAAAACACAAAATATAGCTTATTGTATCTTAGAAACGGACATAATCACGAAAACTTAACATTGACAAGTGATCATAAGAATGAACTAAAGGAAAAAGAACCCTATCAGCACACATTCATACCTAAATATTATTATATATACCGTAGAATAGTTAAGCTATGGCTTATATTATTAAATAAACGGAACTCCTCACGAAAGGGTTGATCAATAAACCACAAAAATGAGGTTAAAGTCAAATCAGATGGACATGAAGACCCTACAAATGTAGTTGACCTAATGCCTTTACTATCTGATATAAAAGTATATGCAAATAGGTCATATGAATGAAGGATTAAACCATCACAAGGTACAAGGAGTAAGCGATAAACTATTATCACCCCCAACACTGCACCCCATAACTCGAAGCTGAGTCTTTATCAGGCTAGCAAGTGTGTATTTTGTTCTTTGTCTTTGTTTTCCTTCTTATTTGTTCTCGCACTGTGTTGATATATATCATTTAGATAAATATCATATCATAATATCTCATCTTTTATATATGGTTTTTGAATATTCAATGATCGTTTTTTTTTAATTAATTTGATTTACCAAGTTTATTTCGTCTTCAAACTTTTTTGATTCTAGGTCATGAAATGTGAATATTTTGAAGATGTACTAAGTTATAAGTCTGGTACCTTTCATGATAATCTCGAGTCATTTTATCATGAGCATTATATTATATTACTCAGTCTTTAGTTTTCTATAATGTGTTTTGTGTACTATTGTTTGTCTGTTTGTCTTTTTCTTTTTTGTCCATGGCGTTGTCAGTTTATTTTCGACTTATAAGTTTGAATGTCCCTCTGGTATCTTTCGCCTCTCTTTCATAATGTCACAGTACCCAAATTGCACCCATTTAGTAAAAATAGCAGTGGAAATCTTACATGTTTTCTTAGAGACTAAACAATTTATACTTTTATAATTTGACATTATGCACGTCTTTCAACAGATGTAAATATATTCGAATATACACAAAACGTTCTCAGTATGTATCAACAGATGAAGTGTTCACTGAAAAAGTAAAATCCACGGAAACGTCGCCATGCGACGTCTACAAAAAGTAAACTTTTAAAAACGAGCAGTTAAAATATGTTACCGACATTCATTTCTTTAAAAATGAATAGCAAGCATGGACTATTGTCAAATTGTTTTAAATATTTGACAAAATAAAACAAAACATCAGTTATTCGATTGTTACGGATGTGAATCTAAGCATAGATGCCATTTGGGTACCCCTTATTACAGAATCATGGGTCGTTTGGAGGTCGGTTCAAACCCATTTTTCGATGATTTAATTTGATTCAAATTAAATTGGTGGAACTATATAGTAAATAAGGATACATGTACAAAACAAACACAGAATGGAAAATTTTGTCTGGGTCATAAATAACGTAGGTAAAAAAACTGTCAAAATATGTGCAATTTGGGTACCCTCGCGTTAACTGTGTATGATAACTGATTTATGCCTTCTTATCTGGGTGTGATCAATATGCCATTTTTCATAAAATGATCTGTACCAAGTCAGGAATATGGCAGTTGTTATCAAATAGTTCGTTTCTATGTATGTTGACGTTTGTTTTTGTTGCACTTCAGTGTTTCTGTTGTTCCGTTGTTTTCCTCTAATAGTTGATGTGTTTCCTTCGGTTTTAGTTTGTATCCCGGATTTTTTCTCTCAATCGATTTATGACTTTTGAACAGCGGTATACTACTGTTGCCTTTATTGAATAGATTATGATCGCTCGGTTGTTCATTTAAGTCAAACACATTAGATACGAAGAATATTTTTTGAAACCTGATTAGTAGTATACTAATTTATATACTTCAATGCTTAAATGACAATTTCTCTGTTTTAAAATCTGAATACGATTCTATAAATATGTAACAATCTGCATGTTTGTATACTAGATAAAAATCGTTACATTTTTTTTGCGATACACTCAGGAGTAAACGTCTAAAAACCGTTTTGTGTAAACGTTTTGTTGATGTGAGGGATTCAACGAGGAACAAAAATACTTTTATCACACCATTCGTCAAGAGATACCATTAAATTTGCAATTTACTGATGATATATGTTTTTGTTTGAGTCAAAAGTAAAATAACAAAAATACCGACCTCCATGGGAAAATCAAATGGGAAAGTCCATTATAAAATGGCAAAATCAAAAGCTCAAACTCATCTAACGAATGGAAAACAACTGTCATATTTCTGACTTGGTACAGGCATTTCCTTATGTAGAAAATGGTGGATTAAACCAAGTTTTGTAGCTAGCCAAACCTCTCACTTGTATGACAGTCGCATTGAATTCCGTTATATTGACAACAATGTGTGAGCAAAACAAACAGACATAAAATGTAAAAACGTCAAAAATTGGGGTACAACAGTCAACATTGTAATCTTAATCACTTTAAAAACAAATCACTGTTTCAACAAAGAAACCAAAAATGGTATATAGACAAAGTACATAAGCAAAAATGAAAGACAAGAATTATTGTCTCTTAATTTCACAGCAATGGTAAAAGTTCGAATTTAAATAAGGGTGTCACGAAAGTAAAACTATTTTCTTGAGCAAAATAAAATCTATATTTGATACAGTTAAATAAACAAACGAATATAGCACATAATTACTATTTTTTTCTCAGTATTCGCAATAAAAATGAGTAATAGAATAGCAGTTTCATAGTAACTAAATGTATATAAAATCCATACAGACAGAAACCTATTGATGATCGTCATGTTTGCTTTTTTATTCCGTAAGGACATATGTATTATTCGATATCTTTCATTGAAATGAAAAAAAGGTCATCTTATCATTTTTACAATTTATAAGACAAAAAGACAAAAATATACACGAGACTTTAAATGATTATTTATTTTTTCAAATCTGCAGACGGTGTACTAGTTAAAGTTGAAGGCAGTGCTCAGTTGATGAAACCTTTTCTCTATTTTCCCATTCCCCTATTTGCTAATGTACGAAATTCTGAAATAAAAATTAATCTGTTTGAAAAAAAGTTTGATTTTAATTCATTTGCCTATTAAAAAACTAAACAAAACAACTAAAAGCTGTACATATATATTTCGAATTAGTAGATTGTAAACTCCTTTGCCATGATGCCGTCCTCTTTTCCCGATTATAATATTCCCGACAAGATTTATCAAGTTTTACTTCCCATGAGCAGTATGACGAATGCAGGAACAGCTTACCCTTCAAGAATAGAAAGGTTCTTCAATAGTTTTGATTGGGTGTTCATTATTATTGTTATGTCATGAGTATTTCTTTTGGCCATGATGTTGTCTTTTTTTTACTTTGATTGCCCCCTCGGTATCATTTTCTCTCTTCTTTCAATATGCCAACGCAATATGTCGTTCAGATATATACAAAACTACTGAATGATGGTACAGTACATACTAGATATTTAGTTCACATCAATACACAAAACAATTATCGTCTTTAATAACACGGTTTTCTTTAAGCTGCATTTTTTGTCTTCATTTCTTTTTGTTAACAAAGTTTGTTAATTTTCCAAGCTATAAATGTAATATTGTAATTTGGCTACACTTTTATTGGATTTGTAGTTTTTAGGTATTTGTCAAACTTGGCTTTCAAAGATTTGGGTTTAAGCGTTCCTGTGTAAATCCAGATAAGCGCTTCGGAGTCACGAAAGTTATACAGTGTAATTCAAACGACAAATATGACCACAAAGACAAGCGAATAGACTGCAGAAAAGGCGATTACATTTTTTTTTGTATTCGTTTTTATTTTAAAAGAATAATGCTTTCTGAAGTAAAGATTTTGACTCCTGAATCAAGATACCCCCTTTTATAGCCTGAGATAAACAAGGCAATACACATACCTCCAATTTCCAATTGATTATTTCCATTTGTGTCAATGAGAGTCATTGCTTGGTTGAACATAGTTGACCACTCGGATTTGCTGTATATGAGACCAGGAATATTAGCATTAGCATAAAAAGTAGAAAATTCGTCGTTACTGATGTGACCATTGTGGTTAGCGTCAATCCACCGAAAAGCCAGTTGCACGGAATCAGTTCTTTTTTCAGTTGTTCTCTTATTCACCATCTGGAATGCAAAATTTGAATTAAGAAAAACTCCGTATATTTATATATTTTAGTCTGCATAGCATTGTGTTTTGAATACCATCATCAGTGCAAGAGTAAACGTCCGCAAAACCCAAGAAAACCAAATAAGGCATGAAAAGAAAAACGCGATCAACTATAAGGCATTTTGAAATAGTATTTGTCCTTTGATCTCCAATATAGTTTTACCGTTAAAGCTCATATTTAGAATAAATGCCGTGGGTGAATTCGACTTATCTTTCAATTTTATTAATATTAATTGATACTTTTGACTAAAACGAAAATGATATCTGCATTACAACAAGATATTTTTAAAAAGCACTTCATGACTGGTTGTTGCGTTTACTATATTAATTGTTTTTTTTTTAAATTAAGTAATTTTGACACTATTGCCATACTTTTCTTAACTGCAAGTACCTACCTACCCCTAGAAAAGAATGTCATTGTATTTGACTTGTACGTACAGAAGTAGTTTTTTTAATGGCTTCGGCAACACTTGGTGTGGATTCTCTTCTTTTGACATCTGGAAACATCCCTGGGAAGGCCAAGCTTACACTCACAACGCAGCACAGAACGATCAATGACTTCATTTTTTTTTAAATATCTTAGTTAATTTCTGTAAAAAGGTAAGACTAGTTAACCATTTCCATAAATTACAGCATGACAGACATTTAATAGTTAGAACTAATTTTATTTGAATATAACTGGCAAAAGTTAATAAAACAATGAATAAAACCATATTATCGAATGTTGGTAGTTGTTTATAGCTTGTTCAAAGTTTGGAAATAAATTACTTTCATATCATTAGAATACAGTTCAGCCTTGGGGAAACGATAAACAATAAATCACGACAAGGAGGCAATCAAAAAATCTGTTTCGAAGTTTTGACAACGACGAGATATTCCTCTGTTCGCTTCATATCTTTTCTGAAACTCGCCGGTGTTATCATGGAATCGACCCACCTGCCACGTATCATGTGTTCAAGTTACAGATCCATCGTGAGCGATTGAAATGGGATAGAAAGGTTACTTTTGAGTTCGACTTATCGACAGCTTATTTTCTAGATGTATGTATAAATAAGCTAAGCGTCAAGGTAGAAAGTCATTATACTAGGAGAACTAAAATAAGGTTAATGTTATAAATTAAAAAACATTTACTTGTGATACAGAACCGCTTCATTCTCAAGTGTCATCATCTAAAAGAGGGACGAAAGATACCAGACGGACAGTCAAACTCATAGATCGAAAACAAACTGACAACGCCATGGCCAAAAATTAAAAGACAAACAGACTAATAATAGTACAGATGACACAACATAGAAAACTAAATACGAAGCAACACAAACCCCACCAAAAACTTGGGGCGATCTCAGTAAACAATGGGGTCATGTAAAGACCGATAAGTTAAAATTCCTTCCAACAAGTTCATGAAGTAAAACGTTACTTATATTTAGGAATGTGATAGGGTAAATACATTAAATGTAAATAAGCAAACTTTGAATTAATAGGAATTACACAGTTCTAAAATTGTTCCCCGAATCTTGTGATAACGATAAGCTGTCTATTTCCTTCTCATGAAGAATAATCTAATCCCTGTTATAATCCCTGTTATAATCCCTGTTCGACTCAGGGGTAATATCATAATGTATACAGAGACAACCACACTTAGGAATATCGCAATATTCACTAGATTAGTGTGAATATATTCTTATAGTTTGACAATAAAACGATTGCTTTATGCTTATCGCTATAACCTAACGACTACAAATGAATTAGTAAAGAATTGCTAAGGTTACTCATGTTCAAATAAACGGCTTCGATTAGGTAATTGTGTTTCTTTCTCTGCATGCAGAACGCAAAAGTAAAAACATTGTAAACTTCGAAATATCACAAATATAACAGCCGTTCTTGTGAAATGTTACCTTGTAACCCATCAGACTAGTTACGAGGCTATAAGTCAGAGGTGTAGCATACATTTCCTACGATTGACGTGAATTACATAAAATGTAGTAGATTTGTTCGGGACATTTGCAAGCCACTAGACAAGACTGAATCATAAACGGATGTTGAACGCACAGTGGAAATTCAGGTTCATTACCTGTCAATGTCAAATGAATTAACCATGTTTGGTTTTTCACCCTTTAAGTCGACTGCATTGTCCATGTTGTCATACAATGTTGTTTGCCTAAGGTTATTTATGGCAATAAACAAATGTTACCGAATTATTTGAAAGAATGTCAAAAATAGTGTTTATTTCTCTTTTAAAAAAATAATAATAAAAAGTCAAGCTTGTGTTGAAGCTACAGATAGTACAATATATTGAAAACATTATGAAGTTAAAACACATGATTATCTTAACTTAATGGGAACTAAATCAATAAATTTAAAAATAAAGTCTTAGGAGAATGTAAACATTTAAAATTGAGAATGGAAATGGGGAATGTGTCAAAGAGACAACAACCCGACCATAAAGCAGACAACAGCCGAAGACCACCAATGGGTCCCCAACGCAGCGAGAAACTCCCGCACCCGGAGGCGTCCCTCAGCCGGCCCCCAACAAATATGTACACCAGCCCAGCGACAACGGACGCCACACCTAACTCCAAACTATACACAAGAAAACTAAAAATGACACAAGACCAACAAAGGCCAGAGGCCCCCGACCCGGGACAGGCGCAAAAATGCAGCGGGGCCAAACATGCCTCCTGAGACCCTAACCCCCCCCCCCCACACCCCAAGCCAATGTAGAAAAAACAAACGCACAACAGTACGCACGGCAAAACTCAGTCTAAGAGAAGTCCGAGTCCGATGCCAGAATAGGAAACAAAAGAAAATAAACAAAATGACAACAACACATAAATAACAACAGAATATCTTTTATGAGTTATCACATTAAAAACTTCAATAAAAGAAAAGAAAAGTGGGAGTACGGAACTTATTTTTCTTGAAAATAGAAATGAATTGCATTTCTGTATTGCAACTTGCGAATTGTAGTATGAATTTATACCTATTTGAGATCCTAAATTGTCCCCATGATTTATAATCCTGCAAACTACTGAAACGGCAAATGAGAAGTATGTCATGCATTTGTTCGACGAAACGAAAAAATAAACGGAAAACCATAGTCTTAGGAGGGGTAAATATTGACAACCGAAATGAATGGAATTTTGGCCTAGTTTAGGAAAAAGAGAGCACATAAAAGGGTAAAGAATCTTAATTTTTCACATGGTGACAAAAGAACATACAAACTAAGCAGCAACAAAAAGAAAGTATATAAAATAATTTGTTAAGTAATGCTTACCCTTGATTTCTGAATCCGTTATGAGTGACAGAGGTGCGACTATCTAGGTTTTATACAAAGTGACATGATTATCAAGTTCATCAAATCTTTTAGTTAAATGTTAATGACTAGAATTATGAATGTAAAAAATGGACAATAATAGTTCTTAAACTGCGGAAATAATCAAAATTACAAGATAAATTCCAATAATAAATAATAATTTATATTATGTATTCAAATTTAAACAGGTAATTTCAATCAGATAAAGATAATGACTTATAATACCATTTGTGGTTTATGACGAAATTGGTTTCTATTTGTTTACAATGTCGCATCAAAACTTTGTTTAAGGTTACTGTGATACAACCCGCGTATCAGGTTTTTCCTTAAAAAAAACCCGATTTCGTGTCATGGGATATTTCATTACATTATTTGGTAATTGTGCTTCTTCCCTCACGCACATAATTCAGGAACAAGACATATGACTTGTTGAAAAGGAGTTAGAGTAATGTATTTTGGTAGGGAGTCAAAATTTCCTATGGAGAGTTACCTGCGAAGCTGGTGTGCTTGTCACCTAGGTATTGGCATAGCGTTGATATGATTTAGCAAACAGGTTCATCTCTTGGCTCGAATAAAATATAATGTAATAAGACCCGATTGGTTATTCGGCAAATGCTTAGCCTCCATGCGCAATTATGTTCATGTTAATGACAGAAAAATATACAAATGTCATATTAACCATAATAAACCAAACCTATTGTATTTATTTAACATCAAATCAAAAACGTAAGAAATATAAAGAGGATTGATCTGGATAAAAGGCAAAAATTATATGAGTGGCGCTGGAAAAAAGAGGATTTAAAATGAAGGGTCAGAATTTTACCTTTCGAAAGACATTTACGGATCCCTAAAAAGTTGTTCCATCAACCAATGGTAACAGTTTAAAACCATTCTAAATTTGATGTGATAGAACTGATATTCTCGGTTAATGATACTACTAAAGTTTGAACAATATGCTTAAATTCCGATCAGTATTAAATAAGCATTTAAGTCAGTAAGAATGTTTGATACATGTTTATTTTTGACTTAATCTTACAGGTAGTTTGGTCTCCCCTTTTATTTTAATTTATCTGACAAGTAGCTAGATCCGTTTTGGTCATATAGCTCTTCACTTGTATGCTCTCATACATTTTGGCTTTCAAATGTTTAGGTTTGAGTATTTTTGGTGAAAGTTATTTCAGAAAATCGCTTCCGACGCACGGAATTAATCAATTTTGTTTGCATTTACTAGCACTGGGTCGTTGTCTATGCTGATGGAGTGCTAGTCCCATAGAGTACCCTTAGCTCACCAGTCAGTGCCTAGGTACTGATATGATTTATAACAAACTTTTCGCAAATTTCCATTAATAAATTAAGAAATTATTAAGAAACTAAGGTTCCAACTCATTCAGACAAAGTAGACTTTACATAAATTTGGAAATTTTTTTGTCCCTTTTAATGGTATAGTTCTTTATGTGTTTAAGTCTTATACATACTTGGCTTTCAAATGCTTGGGTTTGAGCGTTCCCGATGAAGATAAATCAATAAACGCGCTTCGGAAACACAAATCAATGAAGAGTTATTTTCATTTACACTATTTAAACCTGAAATTTATTTAATAATAAATATCTAAACACATTGTAAGCAAATTGTCTTTGTTAATCAAATGAACGGTAACAATGTTACCAAATGCGCATTCCGACAACTAATGTCTCTTCAGTGATGCTCCAAGTCTAAATATTTAAAATTCTTTTTCAGAAATCGCTGATACAACCAAAAATGACAATAAAAATATAGCCAATGTTAAACGTTCAAGGCAGTACTAAAAAGAAAGATGTTCTTTCCTCATTTCTTCGTTCCAGAAGATAAAAAAAATTACAGTATTCTGAAAGGAAACAAAAAGACAATCATATTATTGACCGTTTCATAAATTTAGCGATTAATATACTTGACATTGTATTTAGATAATGCATATTTAAAGATTTTTCTTGTCGTATAACACACCGAGGAGTGTCAAGATTGATCAAAAAATCTTTTGGAAATATTGACGCCCCGAGGTGTGTTATACGACTAGAAAAAACCTAATAATATGCATTATCTGACTTATAAACCGTCAAAAAATATCATTTTCTGCTAAGATTTTCAGGATTTGAATCCTATTTTAGCGACCCCATTAAAGTGAGATATTCTTTTCTGATACGTTCAGGTTTTAATACGCCCTACGGCTCAGGTATAAAGTAAAAATAAACAAACTCACTAATTAATCTAAATTTAAACTTTAGAAATCATTATCCAGTTACAATAAAAATATAACTGTAACTGCATGAAACAAGACACAAATGAATTATTACTGTGTATGAAAAATACAAGTTTCTGTGTAAGTAATTTATATTATCAACTTAATTTATGAGAGGAGACAAGGCCCGATTTGGTGGTGTAACATCTTACAAAGTCTATCCAAATAATTTTGCAAAGAATTCCGCTCAAGCCGGTGTTAGGCATGTTAGGGGCCGTCATAAACTTGCAGTGAGGTAAGAGAACTTTATTATTTATTTTTGCACCGTGTTGAAGGCTTTGTGACTTTGAGAGTAAGAACAGCAATAAAAGCGCTGTTCCTTCGTTGTTTGTGTGTTTTTTGCTGTACTAATGCACAGCAAATGTGTCATGGATGAATACCCATATCCTTTGTTTTTCTATAATGCTATGTTTTTTTTTCTTTTTTTCATGATATCATATTATTTTTTCAACATTTATGCATGATCAAGTATTATCAAAAATTTTGACATTGCTTGATTGAGAAAAGAGAAGCGAAAGATACCAGAGGGACATTCAAACTCATGAGTCGAAAATAAACTGATAACGCCATGGCTAAACAAGAAAAAGACCAACAGACAAATAATAGTACACAAAACACAACATAGAAAACTAAAGACTGAGCAACACGAATCCAACCAAAAACTGGGGGTGATCTCAGGTGCTCCGGAAGGGTAAGTAGATCCTGCCCCACATGTGGCACTCGTCGTGTTGCTCAGGTTAGTACAAACCCGGTAATAAGTCTAATTCGGTAGGTCACATTCGGGAAAAGGGGGACGGGATTGTAGTTACGACATTAGGAACATATCCGGTATCATCTGTGAAACGGATATTCTATTTTCGTGTGTTTTGTGGCATTATTCGGTCTCTTTTTGTAATAATTCAGGAAACCATGACAAACTCATTAATGTACATGTTTGAACACTTAATTAAATCCATACTTTACTCAAGTTTTAATTCATTTAGTAATGCCTTTATTGTGGACTTATATAAAGGTCAAAGAGACTACTTGTATTACTTGTCGCATCGAATAGTATTTTGTGTCATATCATTGGGCTTTGGTTTCATTTTTTTTTTTTTCTTCTTATGGTTGTTCGTTGTTATATTGCTATCATAAAAATAAAGAAAAAATCGTAAGATTGCCATTAAAACAACTATCCATAACAATTTAAATTACATGGAAGTAAGGAATTATAGGTCACCGTACGGCCTACAATAATGAGAAAACCCCATACCGTATAGTCAGCTATAAAAGACACCGAGAAGAAAATTTGAAAAAAATTAAACCAGAAAACTAACGGCCTAGTTTATAACAATTCAATTTATGGAATACTAATATCACAAACAGAAAGCAACGACAGCCTTACAGGCTACCGACTTTGGACAGACAGATAAAGAATGTGGCGGAGTTAAACATGTTCGTGATCACTCAACCCTCCTCTAACATGGAACAATAGTGTAACAGCACTACATAAGAAAACTGTAAAAATCAGTTGTAAATGGCTCAACTCTTTAGATCTGTACGCAGCACACACAAAAAATATCAAAGGTAAGGGTTGGATTTTCTTCAATTCAAAAAATATAAAATCACCAATAAACAAGGAGATCAACCAATTGAGGTATTTCAGAGAATATTCCTCTTAGTTAAGTTACGAATTGTATCAATTAACTTTACTGTATTATGTATCATTTAATTAAGAAATTGAGAAGACAGATAAATACTTAAAAACTTGTTTTGCAATTTTGCAATAATATCAAAACTTTTGATTTTCCGCACTCTACACTACTTATGTCCTTGCTCAATTGATAAATCAACTTATCTGTTCATCGAAAAGGTCCTTTTTGGTAGGTCATGGTGAATCGTCCTTTTTGTTAGCTCATGGTGAATCTTACTTTGTGAAGAGTCACACTGATTCCAACCGCAAATTATCCAAAAACAATGTCATCAAAATGCAAGACGTAGCGATATTTGTTGAGTTTGGTTGATTGGCATTCAACTTACCGTTTTCCAATGGGTGCTAACTGTGCAATCCTACTGTCCAAATTGTCTCTGTACTTTCTGAAGCAAAATTCATACAAACTAATAACAAAAACAAAACTTTGTAGTATGTTTCAGATAAATTGATGATGTCCTGTCACCTTAGAGTCAAATTTCAGTGAGTGTTTGAATCTGAAACTCTGAAACGTTTCCCCGATATTTACACAAATGGACTAATTCAATCTCCCATGTAAGCAGTAATAGAATTAACGGTACCAATTTTACTGCAGCAGATGCGCATTTCTACAATTTATGTCACTTCAGTGATGCTTGATATTTGAAAGTCCAAAATCTTTAACATTGTTAAACAAAAGTCGAAGAGATGACCAAACCACATTTTACCAAAAGTAAAACCAAACCCGGACAGGGATTCAGAGCTATGCATGAGTAACATACCCTCTGTTCCATCGTATGGCGTTTGTATTTCTCAAGTAATACGTTGCGCTCGTGTATGTTCACTCTATACGGAATGTTTGCTCCTTACACCAAAACTGCGCGGACAGATTAATGACGCAAGTTTTTGCTGTGTTACATCTTCAAATATCAGAATAGTCGTGTGATTTGTAATTTTACCGACCATGTTTCCTATTCCAGACTATGACATTTTGACTTATTGTGGATTCGCCTGGGGGGTGATGCATCCATAGAAGGTGACGCTCACCCTGTCAACAAATTAGGTTTCATTGATTTTGGAGTTTATGCTGTTC